TCGGACGGGAATTTGAATCGGCTTGATGCTACGACTCGGGTTGTCGGAGGCGTTAGGCAACGTAAGTCCTCAGTCTTTTGTTTTTTTTATAATTATATTCTTTTTTCAATTGTAAGATGCTTAAACGAAATTGTGCTAAGAACAAATAAAGAATTTTTAAAAAAAAAAATTGGTTTCTTTTAGAATATGATGAACGATTCTGCAATCTGCATACTGTTATAAGTTAGTTTCTCTGTTTTCCTACTGAAGTTGTAAGTTTCAGTTAGTGTAAGCTAGAATGGTGCCTTTTAGATTAATTTGATTGTCAATTATCATCACTTACTTGATACCCACATCAGTTTAGGATTGGGAGAGGCTGTGTTTTAGTGGAACTGATAATTGGGTTGTGTATTTTACTATGGTGGAAATTTAATTTAGCTAAAATTGGAATATTCAAGCAGTTCGATATGTGATGTAAATTTGTGGATAATATTAGGTTGCTTGAAGATCCTATCTCCTGAAGAACTTGAGCATCTGGAAATTCCTGTGCGTGAAGAGGCCAATAGTCCTGTTAGTAAAGTGTTATACATATCAGAGATTGATACTCCATTCTTAGAAGGGAACAGCACTCTGTCTCAAGAGCACACAGAGGCCACAAGATTTAATTTATTTACTGGAAGTCAAACTCTAGATCAAAGATCGAAAATGTTTAAGGTTATAAGCTGCATCTTTGTTTCTAGTCCTTGAACTGGTTTAGTAGTATATTTGGTCATTGTCATCTTAAGGATAAAGGTTCACAACAAGGCAACTTATTTCTTTGGATTTTGATGTAGTGCTATTTTCATTTTGAAGCATGTCAAGGCCTGATTTTAAACAGCAAGATAACATTTTGTACCATCAAGCAGTGTTCATATTTTAGAAATTTGTTGCTCACAGGTAAATGAAACTGTTAGTATGAACTGTGGTTTCTACGGTGAAAATGGAGGGTTTAAGATCTCAAATGAAGATAAAGACTACATGCAAAGTTGCAAGGTTGTAGTGTCCACATGTGCATTTGGTGGTGGAGATGATCTTTATCAGCCTATTGGAATGTCAGAGGCATCACTTCGAAAGGGTTTTTTTTTCTTCCCTTTTCAGTAAAATATTACTGATTGCTATAGAAGTTCTCTGTTTTTATAAGGTACTGAATGAATGCAGGTTTGCTATATTGCATTTTGGGATGAAGTTACTCTAAGTACACAGGAATCAGCTGAACATAGAATAGATGGCTATGGATTTATTGGAAAATGGCGCATTGTGGTTGTTAGGGATCTTCCCTTTGCGGACCAAAGATTAAATGGAAAAATCCCAAAGGTAACAACTTTTAGAGTTGGCCTATATTATTATCTTTTCGCTCTATTATCATTCAGTTTGCCTTTGGTTCTATTTAACACAATATATCCTGATCATACTACTATCTCTTTTCATGTGTCATTTTCTTTTTTGTTTTTGGCAAAAAATTGTGTTTTTCATTATTCATTATCTTTTGACGTGTGACCTAATTTCTGTAATTGCTACCTTTGTTCTGTGTCCTGTGCATTAGTGAAGTCAAGTCAATTATGTTAATTTAAGCAGAAGAATATTAATCAAAGAGACGCTGATCTGTTCTTCATAGTACAATCAGTTTAAGCTGAATGTCAAATATCCTTGAAATCTTATTACAAGTACTAGTCTAATATCACATATAGGTGTGTGTGAATATCTATCTGAGACTTCCATGTTTTTTTTCTGGTGTTAGATGTTGGCCCATCGTCTTTTTCCTCATGCAAAGTATTCCATTTGGGTAGATTCAAAATCCCAATTTAGGAGAGACCCCTTAGGTGTGCTCGAAGCCCTTCTTTGGCGTTCAAATTCTGTACTCGCGATCTCAGAACATGGAGCTCGCAGTAGCGTTTATGATGAGGCAAAGGCCGTTGTCAAGAAAAACAAGGCCAAACCAGAAGAAGTTGAGGTGCAGTTGAGTCAATACCGCCATGATGGCTTACCAGAAGACAAGAGGTTCAACGGAAAGAAGGGTATGCTTCTCATTCCCTTGACTTCATCTCTCTTATGAAATATTGATATTTACGATGCTTCATAATTGTATTAAGCTCTTTTGCTTCTTTGTTGACTGTATTATTTTGAAATAGGAGTAGTTTAGCCTACTGCCTACCTTAATTCTGCATAAAAAGTTTACTTGCTGTTGGGTTTTATTGAGTGTGAATGTCTTAAAATGTTGACTTTGAGAAGTAAAAATCGAACTTTCAAATCAATGTAATTATTTAATTTCTGTTATCAGTTCTGTTTTTAAATTTTGTATATGACCTTCATCATAGTCATAAACTGATGCCAGTCTGTTATCCTCGACGTCAGTCCACTTCTTATTCATATTTGCCCAATCTGTGAAAGTGGGTTATGAGCCCTTGCCTGCAGTCTGCTGCCGCCAGTCTTATTTAGATACATGAGTTAAGAAATAACCATTCTTAAATATGAAAAACTCCATATCTACAGCATGTAGAAGCCTATGATCTCAATGTACTGCATTTTGTTCCTATGCTGAATCATATATTAATGCCCTGTGCAGCTTTAGCCGAAGCATCTGTTATTGTGAGGGAGCATACACCATTGACTAATATGTTCATGTGCCTGTGGTTCAATGAGGTGGTTCGTTTCACTTCTCGTGATCAGCTGAGTTTCCCATATGTATTATGGCGGTTGAAAGTACTCAAGAACATCAACATGTTCCCTGTATGCACCCGGAAAGATCTTGTTAATAGTATGGGCCACATACGAAAGGCGAAGCCACTAAGAAGTTGATGGTAATTGGGTAGTACTTCGACTTCTCAATTATTGAAATAGGGGTGCGCTGGGGCGGTCAGGCACTAGTAAATTCCTTCATTTGTTTGTAATGTCAATTGGTCGCTTACATATTTGAATTTCTGTTCATAAAATTTTACAGGAAAAATGGATTTTAGCTTTACCATTTGTTGTGTAGGACTTGCATGGACTTGAATGCGTGAGTTGTGCTTTATGGGTCTTGAGTTTAGCGTTTGAAGATCTATTTTTCTCTTTCCACATGACATGGTCTTGTTAGGGAATATGTTTTGAATTGTAGGTGTAAAGGGTACGGAACCTATCCCGACAATCCAAAGTGAAAAAGAACAAATATTTTGTCTTGCAAAATGCCACATTGATCATTTCCTTTTCAAGTTCGATAGGGCTCTGAATTGTTCTAATTGTTGTAGCCAAATCACACCAATGAAATTATGAAATATTTGTTGTTCTCAATCTTCGGTGTGCTAAATCCACATAGACTTGTACATTTGGGAGGAACACTTCGGATTTCTGGGATTCATAAAGTCGTTCTCGTGAGGAATGCTTAAGAGGCCAATATGAGGGACAAGAAGCATCTCAATAAACTAAAAGAACTCACCATTGAATCTTACTTAGGTACAAGATTTTCAGGTTGGTTAGGACATCGATCTTCCTCTAATCTAGTGTCTTCAACTTCTCCGCTGCAAAAATTGTTGTTTGTTGCCATCACTGGGGTAGCTACCCTTCCTCAAAGAGCGTACTTATTTACGGGTTAAATGGAGTGGAGTCAATAGGTCCTGAGGTTTTTCAGTAACGGTACCTGCACAATCGAACCATTCAGGTCTCTTCAAGTTTCGAGCTTCTACGAAATGGAGGAGTGGCAAAAGTTCATATACGGATGCTGGTAAAAAAAAATGGGGATCCTTCCCCTTCCCCAAATAATTTATATAAAAAATTAACGAACCATATGCTTCTTACGTAGTTTTAGGATTATGACACACTATTTTTGCAAGTAGCATTTTCCTATTATAAATTATAATACACAACTCCTTTTTTCTTTTTTTAAATAAAAATACAAGTGATAGTTTAAACTATAAGAGGGAGGGGTTTCTCTCACGTACTTTCAAGATGTCATGAGGATTTAAACCTAAGATCATTGATATGTAAGTCATGGTCATTTTTCACTCGATCCTTTGACTTGTTTGGTCTGATTATAATACACACTGTTTGGATATGGTTAGAAATGTAATCTAGATCTTTCGGGGTATGACAGGGATTAGGTTTAGTTATAATATTTGTACATTGTTTGGGTGTTTTTTTTCAAGTCATTTAATTTTAGAACTCAACTTGGACCCAATTAATGTAGAAAGGCATGGGATTGGTGCTAGTAGAAAATACAATTTGGGATTGGCCCCTTCAAATAGTGGCAGGCAGTTGATTTAGATGAGTAATAAAATAATTAATCTTTTTTATAAAATAAAATAAAATAAAAAGTTCCGAAAAATATCAAAATAGAAGATAAAATGCATTTTGACTAGTCTGAAATTGCAATTCGAGGAGACCACTAGTACAAGCTACGTTAGTTATGGATGTCGTAAGAGTGCACGTCTACAGGCTCCTCTTCCTCCAGTGAGTGCAGCGACCAGAAAACAATACAAAACCGTGTTGTTGACAATTTGAATTACATATGGCCTGGGCTGGATTCTGGAAACTCCTCGAGAGTTTGTAGCCCGCACGTGTTTTTATAGGTGTACGTAGTTCACTATAATGTTTCTATAGTTGACAACATTTTTTCGACCAAAAAAAATAGTTGACCACATTTGCTACCAATCTGACCAACACTACATCCACATATCATGTAGTGTATTTTCACAAACACTGGCAAGTGAGTGTTCCAACTTAAGATTATTAGTCTGTAAGTTAATGTCATTTTTCACTTGGTTGGACCTTGTTGACTTATGTAATGTATATCTTAGTTGCAATGGCTGAGCTAGTAGCTTGTCTTTTGGGGGGCTAGTACTGTAGTTTCAAGGTTTTATAGCCTTATATTTCAATTGATATAGTAGCAAGTGTTTAAGAGTTATTGGCTTCTTCATGGAGCTTGGGGGAGCCACGGCCACTGCGGGCCTGTATGTGGCTCCGCTCCTGCTTAGTTGCATAAAATACATGTATTATATATGTATGTACGTATTTTCATGTATTATTAAAATAAAGGACTAGAAACTATAAATTGTAAACAAATACCATTAAAATGTATAATGGCTGAATTTTTCACCGTATTATTTTCTAAAATTTTGTCAAATAATACACGTGTGTATTTTCTTCGTACTTTTCTCATGGTTTATATCATCTACGCCCAAAACTTTTCCTAGGGTAGTAACAAAATCGTACATCTAGCCAAACCGGAAAACGGGTGGGAAAAAAAGAAGAAAAAAAGATGCCCCGAAGCCGAGGATGTTTTACTCACCAGCTAATGTGCAACAAAAGATGGATGACAAACAACAGAAACGACCTGTACAAAGTAAACACATTATTTTGACCCCCCAAATAAAAAAGTCGTACCGTTTCATGGCCAATGTTTTTGTTTTTACAAACAACACCACGTACGTACGTAGTTTTGAAAATAAAAAAGACAATGACGGTGTGAATGCTGATCATGATTTGAGACAGGGATGCCCCAAGCACTTTCTAAGGCATTTACGGTATCCAAAACCTTATCATATTGCAAGACTAAAAATTCCCTTTCTATCTTAAAAGAAAAAGTGGAAAATAAGCATAGGATTCTTGCTGATGTTGTCTGTGCTAATACTGAATATGTGTCCAAAAATGATGTCATTTCCAGATGTTTATGTCTCTTGAGTTTACTTTAGAGTTTATGTGGAAAAGATAATACTTAAATAAAGGGTTTATTATATAAAATCCCTAAATTTAGCGGTCATTTCAAATTGGTGAAGTTTTGGAGATTTTAGGTAATTAACTCTTAAATAAAAGTAAAGAGAAAAACATAAAATCACACACCAACTAGTCTAGTGGTATTTTTCTCTAGTTAGTTAGAAGAGACATCAGGTTCGCTCACATAGATGTGAAGGCAGATATATATTTGTGATGATTTCGATACCTAGTTGTAGTCTAGTTTTATTATGAGTGTATTTGTCTATCGTTCGACTCCAGTTAGTTGGATAACGACCGTTATAAAAATATTTTGTATATCATTTGTCAAAATATTAAGAAAAAAACGATTTAATTTTAGTCATAGATAATGCAACAATGCATAAAATAAAAGCAGAGAATCTGAACTGCATTTGTTCATCCTTGTTTACGTAGCTTGCAGTTGTAGGCAACAAGGCCCAAGTGGACCCAATTGCCCACAAATCGTGTATATCAAGCACCAAGGAAAGTACACAATTAGATAAGCACATTTGACCGCCAACATTCCCCCGGTTTTTTAATTTTCAATTGGGCATGGTGGAGGGTCTTTTGCTTTGCCTTGCACACGCACCTGGTTTTGCTACTCTCTGTGTCTATCTCTTAAGCCAACGCTAACACGTCATGTGGACTTTTCCAAACCAAACCAAACTTGTATATAAAGCAAAAGTCTCCAAAACAGACCACAAAACAAACTTCCAATTCCAAAGCTCCTCATTGTATTGCATTTGCAATGGTTCTTTTGGTGCAAAAGTTTGATAAATTTTACTCTAAACTGGAGAATTTCCATCACCACAAACACAACCACCAATCACAAGCCTTAACAGCATCTCTGGAGGCTTTCAAATCCCATGTTTCAAATTGCTTGAGCAAATTGTCTCTGAGTTCAAAAACTGGATTAGAAGTCCCATCTTTTTTATGGATTCAACAGTGTTTTGAGCTCCTACCCATCATCAACCATGCTTTTGCCAAGCTTGTTGTGGCCATAGACTATCCTGTGGGCAAATGGGAAGCTGCTTCTGTGGATGAGTATCTCAAATACAGTTTGAATTTGTTGGAGCTTTGCAATTCCATTAGTTCCTCTTTGTCTCATCTTGGGAAGGCTAGGCTTTCACTAGCTCATGCTTTGACCCTTGCGGAGAATTCATCACCTTCTTTGGCTTTGAAGCATCTGAAGCCAATTCAACCAAAGGGTTTGAACAAGGAACTCAGATTCCAAGGAAATGAAGAGATTGGGAAACCAAGGTGTCCCAATATTAGCAAGCAAGCTGTTATCGATCAAGCTATGGTGGTTATGCAGGGTATGGTATTTTGGGTATGTGGGATTTTGATGTCTGGCTTAGTTGGGGAAGCCAAGCCATACTTGGAGATGAGAAGTTCAGGTGGAAGGTTTGTTGATTCATGGCTTCCTGGATTGGATTTGAGAGCAAGTGAAGTAATTGTGGAGAGAAATGGTTTGTTGAAAGAGGTGAAAGAGCTTGATGATGCAGTGGCTGGCCTTGCTGCTGTTATTGGAACTGGAAAAAGCAGTGATGAAGCAGCTGAGGAATTAAAGAGAAGATTAGAGGTGGTTGAGAAGTTGGTGGAGGGTTTTGGGAAAGAGGTGGATTGTCTCTTCAATAAGGTTTTGGCTGGGAGAAATCAATTGCTCAATGGCCTTGGACAGCAAAAGTAGTAGAAAACAATTGTATAATTTTAGTCTGTACAGAATATTGTTGTATGTTTATTGATTTTACTTTTTTTATGATTGTAATCATGTATTCTTTTTCCAAATAAAAACACTTTGAAAAACCTGAGTTTGTTTTGTATATAGCAAAATAATTAAAAGACTTAACCTTGCTGCATAATTTGAACCTTTCACTTTCAAAACAATGGCTGAGATTTAACGAACTTCCAATAGTACTCTAGGTACTCTAAAATCGGTCCAAGGAGAGCTACAATTTGCAAATATCCAAAGGAGATTACATTTTCATTATTTAAAAAAAAAATTCTGGCCTCAAAGCAAATTACAAAGGAAACTAGTATAACTAACTAGAGCAGCGTCCTCTCCATAAGCCAAACTTCCCAAGAAAGGAACTTCTATGTCTCCACATTGATGATTTTCGGGTCACCTACGGATTCTACCTTCTCTTTTACAAGTTACTGACCTTTCGACGAAAGCTAATAAGCTACACTCTCAACTGTATGAAATTCATCTCTAGCATCTGTTGATTCTATGGCGAAGAGAACCTCAGAAACAATTACAGTGCTAATTGGCTCCCTGAGTCATTGGAGTTTGCTTCTCTTTCTGGAGCCTTCCTCTTGCCATAAACATCACTTGGCAGCCTGGCAAAAAGACAGTAGATGTACAACCAACAGAATAAGATAACAATGTTAATTTTCACTTGAGAAACTTGTTTTACATACATCAACTGTAAAACAAGAAATCATAGGAGCAAATAAATTTAAAGTTTTCTTAACAGGCCCATCCTAACCACAATCCATCCCCAAAATTTATTTGAGGCCTTTTAGTCTAGATTGTACAGTTGGGCATATTTATTTACTTATATTTTTTATTTATACAAAACCTCGACGAAGAAATTTGTTGAAATAGATAAAGGATACATGAAGAAAGAGGAACAAAAAGGACAAAACCCCTCCAAGAGAAGCTAAATAAGATCATAGCAAAATAAAAGGCCACAAAATTAAGTTAACCTATAGCTAGGGAGCCCTGTAAGGTCCTGTGAAAAGGCTGTAGTTGCAAAAGAAGGAACAGAATCCCTCCTGTGGGAGCCAGATTAGTCCACCCTGTAATCAGCCAAACAATATGACTGTTTATCATAGATGAGTTCTACTCTTTGAAAGAACATCAAGCACATCTAAAAGATACTATAGTTTGACCATATTGAAATTAACATTTGAGTTGTTTACAGTAGTTTTCTAGTAGTAATCAATTTTACTTGCAGTATGGATAAGTACTATATACTTATTTCACCAGTAATAAACTTTTAACACTTTACTTTGCTTCCCTCTACCTCTCCCCAAAATTTTCCATGCCCCGCCACTGCGGAGCAATGGGCTAGGCAACTAGGAAATATTATCTAAATCTATTAAGTAGCCTAGGATGCACAAGAAACAATAAGCAACAACAGTTTTGCAGTTTATTTGAAGGTTATTTTGTTAATAAGGAAAGAATAGTACCCTAAATGCAAGGTGATGTCAGAATCTCCATTCTCAAATGCAAAATTGCTGACCAAATCTGGGCTTGTGACACCATGGTTTACAAGGGATTTCTCTTTTTCCACAGGATAATATTCCAGATAAGATGGGACAGCACGGTCAGTTTGTGGAAATAAACACCGAAGCTCCTCAACCTACAATATAAGAATAGGCCATAACAGATACATTACATATGATACAAATCACTCACAGGGAAGTAAATGCCAGAAACTGATCAAATTTTCATTAGCAGGAAGAATGTTGTTTACCTGTCTGCGCAACGTTTCATTCTCAAGTATAGCACGCTGTTCCTGGAGGAAACAAATAGCTGAAAATTAAATACCGGGTAAAATTGTCTGTTTTGATGATAATAAATAAATCAACTTAGTCTTTTCTATACATACCAGTGTAGATGCAAGGTCATTGTGCAACTTATACCACAAAGCCAAGCTTTTAAAACCAGACATAAGTATATGAGGAAAAACTTTACATCATAGATTAGTCACTTTCTTCCTTTTCCTGTCACTTTTCATTGTCATATCCCTTTCTCTTTTTCTTTTTTCTGTTCTTTTGCTCTAAATCATTGTGATTATCCATACTTCAAAGTAAAAGTAGCTTAATCGAAACAAAATTGTATCTTTAGTAAACTTCAAGAAAATTGCAGCTTTCATATGTTTGCAGAAATGAATTTTCTTCTTTAGTTCTTTAGAAAGTGATACTTCAGCATAAACTACGCAGTGCTACTACTACAGCTTTAACTTTAAATAAGACTAAAAAATTGGGTTGTGCTTCCATGTACCTGTACTCTTGATTGCTCTAGTTGCTCCACTAGTAATTGCTCCTGAAATAGTAGAATATATATTCAGGCCTTTCAGATTGCAGGAATTAGTACATTTTACAATCTGCAACATAATCTGACATCTCTACTGAATAACTGAAAGGAAAAAAAAATAAAAAGGAAATTATAGTAGAACCTTCCTTTCCTTCACTGACAATAATCCTTCATTTAATTGCTGTTCTAGTTGCTGCAATTCTTTCAAGCTCAAACCAGTCAAGTCCTTACCCAATAGCCTTCTACACAATCAGAAAAAATATTATTATGACGTGAGGATCTCACAGTATTCCAAAAATGTAAGAATTGAGTAAATACATACACTTGTTTCTTTTGTAGCATTGCAAATTCATCCTTTAGAACATCCAGCTCCTTGGAGTCTTGCTTCTGAAAAGAAAGATAAGTTAGAATTATCAATAGAATGCTGAGTCTACAAAACTATGATTGTGGAAAGAAAAAAAAAGACTAAGTATGACAAACGGAAAAGGTTCTCAAGGAAGCAATTAAAACTGTCCTAGGTACTGCTCAGACTTGAGTCTCAACTAAAATCATCTCATGCAGACCAAAACTTTATAAAATGAACATTGTATGTCAATAATCTTTTTCTAATATACTTCATTGTTTTCACAACTACCGCAAAAACAGGGTATTACTCATACACTATTTACATCCTTCTGTCGTTTTATGAAATTACAGTAACTATGTCGCTTCACTTTTTATATATGTCACTATATTTAAAACTCATATGACCAGCATCACTATTTCTAATACCTATACAAAACTAAATGTCATTGCCAGTAACTGGACAATTCTTAAAACCTTCATAGCGTTATATCTCCAGTACAATCCACGAAGGTCAGAATAACTTCTGGAAATATTATGGGAGGTCCTTGCTCCAAGTGAGGTTAGCATAATTTACCTAGGGAAAAGAACAATTTTGAACATATGAAACATATTCACTAACATATATTTCGCTTTGTCAAAGTTCCATACAGGTAAGACTGACATGCAACAGGAGGAAGAACAAATTACCACAGGAAGAACCAACAAATTAACAAACTTGTCCATCCTAAAATTTGTGTTACAACATAAAAGATCAACAAGCGTCAAGTATATAAACTTGTTGAGCAGAATACCTCTGCCTTGCATTCTTCTGCTGCATCCTCTGAAGAATCTAAGCACTTGTTATACCTTGAAAGAGTTCGCTTCATACTACAAAAGTACGAACAGATCAACATCAGCAGTGTTCCACTCAGACGAACAGGGAAAATTTAATTTCAACTTGCTTTATCACTTCATTTGCAGCAATACTTCTAAGTTTTTTTTGTCCAAGGAACGGGTAATAAACCACTGAGTTAATGCTTCTTCTCAAGCTAGATGCAATATCCAAAATGCTTTTGCCAAAAAAACTGAAATACAGTAGAAAGACAAAAAATGGCTCCATAGAAACCAGAAACAATATCCATATTGTAATCCAATCAGTTAACAAAAGTTAGTTGAGTCTTTAATTCATGTTTGGAGAAAAAAGTTATTGAATGTCAGCATATTCCAGATGAATTGATAGCACCTTTGATAAAGAGTGTAGGTCATCTCCAGCGGAAGAGCAAAGGCTTACAAGAGTAGAGATAGAAAATTTCCAAAATGTAATTACACATGAGGACTATTAACTTTCATTCAAGTGATCACCTTCTATACAATTAAGGACTGTCAAACAGAGAGAGAGAGAGAGGAGACTTGCTTCTGCAAAGTTAGCAGGCCATTAGAGAATACAGACAAATTGAAACAAAGGATCATGTATTCTTTTTTGGTCAATTCCTACATTTGGGGGAGGAAAAATTTGAACTACGGATTCTAGAGAGGAATGACACCAATTGGCATTTGCCTTCTGCTTAATACGGAGTCATCAATTGGTATAAAGAAGGACACAAGACAAACTAAATTCAAGCCTTTTGATAAAACCCCATGCCCACTGGCTTTTAGGTATTTCCACCACGCCAAGACTTCAGAAGTCATTCTAATATCCCATTATGGAACAATCTAGCTGACCTTGCCTTGGAAAAGAGAAAAGAGCATCTGAATATTCCAATCCTTACAATCAACCACTGTCCAGCTTAACAAGATGCACAAAGGAGCAACAACCAAACAGGGGAGTTCCATGAAATGGCATTTCCTTTTAAATGCAGTGGAATGTTTATGATTCTGCTAAGGGTTCGAGTACTAGAGCGACCAGAGTTATCAGTAATGGAAGCTGAAATTGGCCTTCTGATAGTTCTGACTGACCAACTGGTTCTGAATTAAGCACCAGCAGCACTAGTAGCTTACCAAGGTTCATTTCAGAGTCAATTAAGCATCAGCAATACTTAAAGAGTCGAAAAAGAAATCGATCCAAAATCATAAAAGTTGGAACAAAAACCACTTAAAATAATACTTCCAAACATAAAAATGTTATCAAGAAACTCAACTACTTGCACAATTAGTTCAAAAGTTACTCATGAGAAGACCACATCATAGGTGAAATCGCCCCCAACTTAACAATTATAACAATAAACAAATTGGCACACAACGTGGAGAACATTTTATATAAAAAAGAAAAAAAGGAAAATGAAGTACATACCTAAAAAAGAATAAGAGGAAACGGAAACATGAGCATCCACTAGTTTATAAAATAAAATAAAAACAATACAAAAATAAAGAAAAAAATGTAATAGACATTGAATTTTTTTGAAGCCAAATAAAAAAGGGAAAACCCAAAACCCCTGATAAATTCCTAAAAAGTATGCAGTCCTGAGGAAATTAGGTGAACCAACTAAAGACAAAAGGTTTATCAATAAACCATCACAGAAAATCAGACGAAACACATGCATGAACCTCAAAATTTCAGAAGAAAAAAAAATTCAGATACATACCCAGCACTGGAAAACTCAAAAAGCTTTCCAGTATTAGAGAAGATGATAACAGCAACCTCAGCATCACAAAGAATAGCCAATTCTTGAGCCTTTTTGAGCAACCCAGCACGTCTCTTTGAGAATGTGACTTGTCTGCTATTAGCATTCTCAATCCTCTTGATCTCAATCTTCCCCCTACCCATCTCTCAAAACCCCAAACCCAAACTACCCAAATGCTCAAAACCCACAAAAGGAACCAACCAACCAACCAACCACAGCCGAAAAACTTAAATTCCAATTCAAAGTCTTTCTGGGTTTTCTCTGTCTCGGTCTCTCTCTCTCTCTCTAAAAGAGTGCTCTTTCCCTCTCTAGCCGTTCTGAGGGTCCTTGGGAAAGAGATGGGTTGCCAAAATTAGATTGGGGAGAAGATAAAGGGGCGTGTGTGAGAGAAAAGAAAGCGTTTTTGCCCCAAATGGCGAAAGCTCGGAAACGGCAAGTTTGCATGGCTCTGTTTACTATTTAGAGTGGATGCATGACTCTGTTTTGCCACATTTGGAGTGTTTTGGGTGTTAATGGGTCTCTTTGTGGGACCCACTTTTACTTCCTTTTTTTAATTGTATTTGAGTTTCTTTTAGTCAGTCTGGCTTTTGTGGGTCCCACATTACATTTCAAAATTATTATTATTATTTTTCTATTTTCCTTTTTTTGATGATTATCTATGTGCTATAAACATGGTAGTTTAATATTGCTGCTAGGTATAGTAAATCAAGTGGCCAAAATTAGAGAGAGAGGGGATTTTGTGTTCTTTTCTGTTTCCACATTTAGAGTCCCATTGGCAATTTTTGTAATGGGTCTGTTGTGAAACGCACTTGCCCTTGGGCATCTAATTCTCTCTTCTTTCAATTTGCCACATTAAGAAGTTTCTGGTTACATTTAAGTGATACATTTAGTAAAGCCACTGCCAATTTTAGACAAGGGCATTGCCTAATTTGTAAAAGCACTTTTGCTGTTTTTGGAAGGAATGTCAGGACTATTGACTCTTCTTTGCTGTCATGAGTAAATTGGGAAGGGTCTCATGACTCATTTGGGCTGCAAAAGATTTTTTTTCCCATAATTAAAGTGATTTTATTGCTATATATAGGTTAGGCCTAGAGAAGGGTTGTCAAAAACTATTCCATATTTGTATGTAGGTAGATAGGGTATGAATGTAAATTTACTTGAGGAAGAGTGCACCATTTATGTTTTATGGAATACAGGTGAAATGGCTCTTCTAAGCCATGATTCGTAGTGACCCACATTTTTAAGAAAGAAAGATATTGAATTTGGATTGGTTCCTCACCCTCAAAGTAAACTTGCACATATACATAATGGAAATTATTTTTACCATTTAAAGAATAGTTATCAAGACTGTCTTCCACTTTTATTTTTTTTAATTAGGAAGGAGTGCATAATGACTACTTTGGAGTACCAATAACAATTTTTTAAAAACTACTTTAGTATCCAACTTTGATAGGTCTTAATTTAATTCCTCGCTTGAGGTTATCACTAAAGATCGCGATTTTCGAGCACAAAAATCCTTTAATATCTGATTATGGACACTCACGCATTGGAATTACCAAAATTAGCCACTTAGGCTTGAAGGTCTAAGAACAAATATTTGATGACTAGGTCTAATGCGGATAATAATATCAAATCACAAAAATAAACAAGATCAAATTTTAATATTAAGAAAAGAGTTGGCTAACTAGGCCAAATGAAAAACGGTAGCGTGTGAGAAAGTCCCCTTCCCTTGTAGTTTAGGAGAAACACTTGCATGAAACGAGGACAGCAATGCAACAATGCTATCTCTGGGCAATAACTCTATGACACACATGATAACTTTTTCACATGACATATCTTAATTGTCCGAGGATAGCCCTCAAAGTAAACTTGCACATATACATAATGGAAATTATTTTTACCATTTAAAGAATAGTTATCAAGACTGTCTTCCACTTTTATTTTTTTTAATTAGGAAGGAGTGCATAATGACTACTTTGGAGTACCAATAACAATTTTTTAAAAACTACTTTAGTATCCAACTTTGATAGGTCTTAATTTAATTCCTCGCTTGAGGTTATCACTAAAGATCGCGATTGTCGAGCACAAAAGTCCTTTAATATCTGATTATGGACACTCACGCATAGGAATTACCAAAATTAGCCACTTAGGCTTGAAGGTCTAAGAACAAATATTTGATGACTAGGTCTAATGCGGATAATAATATCAAATCACAAAAATAAACAAGATCAAATTTTAATATTAAGAAAAGAGTTGGCTAACTAGGCCAAATGAAAAACGGTAGTGTGTGAGAAAGTCTCCTCCCCTTGTAGTTTAGGAGAAACACTTGTATGAAACGAGGACAGCAACGCAACAGTGCTATCTCTAGGCAATAACTCTATAACACACATGATAACTTTTTCACATGACATATCTTAATTGTCCGAGGATAGCAAAATAGTCTTTTCCCCATTGCAACCAACTTTTTCTCATAATTCAGACTATCGGTTGTATTTAAAATATTAAGAGAAGAGTTGTGATGATGATATTGCAAAATAATATATCAAGTCTGAGACCTTCCCCCAATAAAATTCACATTTACTTTTTGTATTTATCTATAGTTTATTAACTAGTATTATTATGACAACATTTGCTGTCAATCATCATATAATTAACATAATCATACTCTCATTGCTTTAAACAATTTGTAATAAATCTGAAAATTAAAAATAATGTAGTTTATTAGTGGGAGTTTATAGTGATTAAGAACATTTATAATAGATCTAGATCACTCCTATGTCTATATTATTTCTCTTCCAATCAGTTCATTCATATCGCTTATGTTATTTCATTCATATCCCTTATGTTATTATCTTCCACATTATTAAAGTATTTTTTGAGTTAACTTAAAACCAAAGTTCCCAAACAACAAAAGGCCATTATGTTTAAATTTTCAAACAACCCAAAATTACCCTCATTTAAGAAAAACTTTCAACACAATTATCTCATGTTAAGAAGACAAATTTGTAAAAGAATAGCATATTAAAATGCAAATGATTACAAAATATAAAAGAAATACCTGGTTTATAAAGTGGTTGGGTTAAAATGATATAAGACATAAACTTCAGAAGAAAAGATTATAGCTATCAAGTTGGGTTACTTTCCATTTCTTCCTTCTCTTCCTGCTTTGTTAGGCCCAGTTTGGGATCGCTGTCACTTTTAAAAAAAGTTGCTTCTGCTGTACTTTGAAAATAATTAGCTGTAAAGTAAAGCAGTGGTGAAGGAGAAGGTGGTGGTTGTGGTGGTGGTGGTGGAGGATGAGGAGGAAGAGGATGTGGTGGCGGTGGTTGTGTAGGTAGTGAATGTGGTGGTGCAAGTGGTGAAGTTGGATGTGAAAGTGGAGGGGGGGTCATTTTTTAAAATGAATTATGGTATTTTGGGAATTAAAAAATTCATTAAAGGTTCAGCTCTGCTTCTTTTGAAAGCAGCTTTGAAAAGCAACCTAGAGTTTGCTTTTAAAAGCTGCTGTCAAAAGATCATTGCTTTTAAAATAATCGGGATATTTTATTTTTACCAAACACCTTAAATTGCTTAACTTTAAAGTGAAGCAAATTTTTGGCCACAAAAAAAAAAAAGCAATCCCAAACGGGGCTTTAGCCACCTACTTCATAGTCTCTCGCTTTTTCTTTTTCTTTTTTCAAAGAAGCATTTTCTTATTTAATCATCCATATATAAATAGCAATTATATTTCTCATTTAAGTTGTTAGTTGAAAAAAGAAAAAAAAAACAAAGTGAGAGAGAGGATCACGTTGGATTCTCGATGTTATTTGGCTTTTGGTGGACCTATGTTGATGTACACTTCCTTTGGTAAATCTATTGTCTCATATCTGTGCTGGCTTTGGTTGTGCCTCCTCTTGCAAGGCTATTCTTTGAGGTGTTGCGGCTTGATCATGGTAGATCCATTGCTCATTGGTGTGTTGAGGCCTTGGAGTAATTAGGGGACACTCTCTATGTCGTGTCCATGAGGAAGATTAGTGGTGGTTGATTTCCCTTTTGCTTTGCTAACGGTGTTTTAGCTTTTTAATTTTGGTTTAATTTGTTCAATGAAGTCCAAAAACTCTATGAGCTGTATGTGTTTCTTTTCTTTCATAATTCCAGAAACTTTGTTAAGTTTGTTGGGTTTCATAGTCTCCTTAAAGAGAAAGTCATGCCGGTTAGTGGCCGAATTTATCCTTGATGTAATTAGACTAGATTCAAGACAACTATAGCGGTAAATAGGGGTTTTAGAAAAGTTATTTTTGGGAGTTATTCTCTCCATATTAATTTTTTGGCTAGCTCATGTCAGTGGGACCATTTTGCCCATGTCACCGTACTGCTATTGGGATGGCTCCTTTTACCGTCTTTTCCTTTGTACTCTTTTTGTCCATTTGATCTAATAAACTTCTATCGCTTTTTTATCAACAACATAAAAAAAGAGTCTCTGCTTTGTAACCTCCCATCTCAGACAATACGTTTGGGCTCGATGCTGGCTGGCATCATAGCCCACCCCTACCCAATGCCAACGTTTTCTCCATTAACCTAAACATGGATCAAACCAACAAACACAAATACACGCAGGGGCAACCAGCTTCATTGGAGTATACAAGCTTATGTTTCAATCTCCTATGCCCTTCATTCCGAGCATCCTGATTGATATACAAACAAGTCCACGATTGAAAGAATTTCCAATAAAAACTGGTTGTAAACTTGAACAAACTGGAGGATCGACACAATGACGCATTCTAGCAACCAGCATGCCAAAACAACCATCACATACTTGTACAAGGGAGCTGATCAAGAATGTTCCATGAACTTAATATCACAGTTCTATTTTTGTAATTGTTTTGGTAGCTACTTACTGATACAATAAAAGAAATCAAAGATGGGGATAATGTGTCTATGGTTTCTCAGGAGGATTTTATTTTATTGGGTTTTTTATTTTAGATTTTCATCCCTAAAATCCAGGCAGATACATTGAACAGAATCCTTTATCTGTCAGACACCCAAGGATGACCGTTATACCTTCATCGGAGCTTCACTGCAAGTAGCTACTGTAAGAGATCAACTGTCAATCCATAAGTTGTTGCACTACTTAGCTCCATATCATCCTTTTTACACACATATATAAAGTGACAATCTGGATCTTCCAAAACAAACTCAGCTGGAAGTAAGCCCTTCTCGGTGATAGGAATAGGTTCCAAATATGACTTTATTGATGAACTACAACCTTCAGGCCTTTGGAATCCTGGTCTGGCTGTGAAAAGATAGTCAAAAGGATAACAAAACAAATAAGGTGCCTCAATCATCAATTGTAACAACAATTAATGAATTAAAAGAAAACGTACAAGAAACAGGAGCAAGCAAAATCATAGCATCATCGTCTCTGTTGATTATCCAAAACAAGATCCCCCGAAGGTGGGTAGAAACGTAGTTTAGAATGGACTAAAATCAACAACTTCAAAAGATTTTATGTGTGAATCAAATAACAAGGTGGAAGCAAAATCACTTCTGGAAAATGAATTGAAAAATGATAGATATTTGAACAGGAAAATGGACGAACTAATATGACATGGAAACTAAACTTACGTATAATGTACAAATTAACTTTCCAATTGTACACTGGCCGGATCAAATGAGGCATCCTTACTGTAGGATCACCATAGGTTATCTGCCATGAGGCAGTTTAAGAACAGATTATATATTTTGAGATTTCAATAAAAGAAAGAACAATGTAAAATATAAAGCCACATCTAAGGGTGCACAGTTACCAACAAATAGATCCCTCCAGGTTTAAGAAGCCTACAAGCAAAATAACAACTGTTATTAGTGACGGAATATAAAAGTAAACAATAATGAACAAATTTTAAATACAAAAAATTTGTGTACTGATCCAGTAATATAAAAAATTGCAGCTGTCAATTGAGTCTTAAAGTCTACAACCTACTCACTTCCCCTAGCATTTGAGCAGCACTAATTGGAGCATCATTGCCACACTAGAAATATAAGAACAAATAAGAGAATTAGAGTGTGTTCAAGTAATGACTAAGAGGAGTCATAAGAACATCACGACAGACATCATACCATCAGTGAATCAAGAGTTCCTTTGACAGACCACAGGTGCAAAAAGTGGTGACAGCAACACAGTTTTATTAGGACAAAAAAGAAAAAATTAGTCTACAGTATTGTGTGTTCTAAAATGACTAAAACAAAGAAATGATACATACCTTTATCAATGACACCTTCAAATGATTCATCTGGGAAGACACTCATATCCCTAACATCCATTTGCATGTCTAATTGTATAGGAAACATGCCTACAGTCTGCAATATTTACTAAAGATAATGCAGTACAAAATTGTACCGGTAATTTTAATGAAGTAAGTTTTCAAAAGGATACATTTGAGCTGAGGTATGTGCTCATATTTTCTTTTCATCATGTCAATGGCCACTGATGAAATGTCAACGTTCATTATGTCTTCATATCCATCCGCAACCATGTCCTCAGACATAACTACAAGATAAGATTTTTCCATCAGAATTTCACTCAACAAGTAGATAGTAAATATCTAAATCCAATGAAATTATAGATGTTAGGACCTTCCTGATTAGAAAATGAATCATTTTTACATCAACAGTTCTTCGTCTATAGATGATGGCAAGGGCAATGCCATGTTTAGGGACGCCAAAGCACCCTAATTGCATCAGGTACATTATTACTTTCGACATCAATTGTCTAATTAGTGTGAGAGCAAATGATATATTGTTACTTAGTTTCATTCTAGGGCGTAGACAGAATGCATCCCCTCTGGTGATTCATGTATCCATATACCAAAACAGATGGAACTATATGAGAGAATGCCGGCAGGAGTAAGAGTGAACCTTAATTTGGGGAATTCAAGCTCAAGCAAAACTGCCCAGAAATAACAGGGGGGAAATTGGAGTAGAACAAGGCCCAACCACTAAACCAGCAATAACCCTAAAACCCAATTTCTTTGATTTTGTCACAACTTCTCCATAATTCAAACACACGTCAAAATTACCAAAAAGTAGCTAAAAAGAAATGATGAATGTTCAAAACCACTGAAGTTTTGGGAACCAATTATACTCTAACAGAAGAAACCGAAAAGGGCCCGGTTGTCAATGAAAAATATAAGAACGATTATCCAAAAAACCCAACATCCCAAATCAAAAAAATTATTTTCTATCTTTTTTCTAAGAATTGCTCTCAAACCAAACAGAGCAAACAGAGCACTAATGCAGAGAAAGAAAGAAGCTCTAGAACCTGCGGATTAAAACTCTCAAAAGGGAATAGCTTTACAAACAAACAATGAAGAAAAGAGTAACGGAGAAAGAGGGGAATTACCAGCATTGCCACAGCCGACCATGAGAACCCGAGAGGAGGTTGGTATGTAGTTTCGGACAAAAGGGCGGAGAGAAGAGTAGCGCTGGTACCAGTCGAAGGAGCCTCCTTCTTCGACGTAGCGGGCGTCCCAATAGAGGGCGTCGCCATAGTTGTAGGTGTTGCAGCTCGACACGTCCCTGAACATCGTCTCTTCTCTTTCTGCTGCTGGTGATGATTGTGGTGATTTGCGTTCAGCTGGGTACAGTCGGCGATATGAAATTACGAAAGAGAGAGAGAGAGAGAGAAACGAAAGGGCAGGCAAGTAAGTGCGCTCAGTTTCGTGTTGGTTTTCAAGGCCGAGGGCTTTTGGGCCTTTTTTTGTCCGTACAGAGTAATTGGCGTCCGAATGAGAAATTCTCTAGGCACCCAAATGTTCTACTTTTTATTTATTTATTATTATTAGAAATACAAAGTAAATTACAAAAAATAAGAAGAAGAAAAAAGGTCCCAACGGATATTAAAACCAAAAAACTAACAGTGCTTTTGGATGAGGAAATTTAAAAGTACAAAGGATTTCTTAAATGATGAAATTTAAAATGACAGAAATTAATGTTCTAGAATTTGTAAAGTCCATCATGTTACAATGGCATCCTAAACGAACTAATTTAAAGTCTTTCGCAATTTCATGGTCGTTGTCGTCCAAAGAAAGGGTTCATATACTCAGCAATAAATTTTATTGGTCAATTCATAACGGGGTTGGACAAAAGCAAGTGTGAACGAGTTGAAAAAAGACCATTTCATTATCAAACAGAGTGAGAAAGAAGCAGCTGCAGCTGGGCCATTAGACTAACACTAGACTTGATTGAAAACTCGTTATCAGTTTTCTTTCTTTATTTTTAATGTAGGCAACTTCCTATGGCTCTCTACCGTGTTGAAAAAGGACCATCTATGCTCCTAAATCTCTAAATTGATCATATATATCTAACCTTTTTTTTTTTTTGGACAAAGCAATATTCTAAATTAATCTAATGTATGAGAAGGGAGATCAAACTTAGGTGCAAGAGAGCAGACACACTAAACTAAGTGCAAAAGACCAGGCACACTACCGTGACCAACTGGCTTAACCCACGTTTGCATATCAAATAAAATTTTCTTAATTTCTTCCACAAGTAAATTAAGGGTGGACATTAATGTCATAGCCTTTATGACTATGTGAATCGTGTGGGTAGGATAAAAAGTCTTTGGGGAATTTGCATTGCGTTTTCCTTATCAATCAGATGATGAACTTTATTTTCTTCTTGTGTTTTGTAGTGCAGACTTTGTTTCAGAGTCTTTTCGCCAACAAAGAAAAAAAAAAAAGAGATCTTTTCATCGTAACATCTCATACTCAAAATTCTCAAACACATAAGTTTCATCCATCTTCAAATATATTACGTCTTGGTTCTGGCTTTCTTGATCCCCTTGGTTTAAAAGTGTGTTACTGTGTATTGCCTTTGAATTTTCCTTCTTCTTCATTGCGACACCTGTATTTGGTAATTCGTGAAGAAATCTGCTGCTGATACTTAAACTGCAGGTACTTCTGATTTATTCTGTTTGGTGCCTTTTTTTGTTTCTTTTAGTTTTATCTGCTCAGAATTCCTGTTTTCTTCATCCATTTGGTAAGATATCACAATAGAGATTTTTCGTGAGGTGTTCAAGTACTTTGGACTCATAAAGGGCGTCGACCAAAAGCTGCAGAAATGGACTGCCACCTTGTCTGCAATTGGAGCGGTTCTGAATGAGGCGGAGGAGAGGCAACTAATCACCGAGAGCAAGCCGCTGAAGCTTTGGCTGGATGATCTCAGGGACTTAGCTTATGACGTGGAAGACGTATTGGACAAGTATGCTACTAAAATGCTCAAACGGGAGATAGAGCTGGGACATTATGCCGGCACCGCAAGAAGGGTCTGGAACTCAGTTCCTAATGTTGTTTTCAACTACAAAATGAACTCAGAAATACAGAAGATTACAGAGCGTTTACAAGAGATATCTCAGCGAAAGGACCAGCTTAGTTTGAATATCATTACTGGGACAACTTCGTCCACTAAGGCACGTCAAAATTTACCTCCCAGTTCCAGTCAACCAGATGGACCTGTGATTGGAAGGGAGGAAGACAAAAGGCGGGTCGTGGAATTTCTGTCGAAACAAGAGCGCGGTGCCGTCAATTTCGATGTAGTTGCCATTGTTGGTATGGCTGGAGTCGGAAAGACAACACTTGCTGCACAAGTGTTCAATGAAATTGATGCAACCGAGCAATTTAAACCAACTGCTTGGGTATGCGTGTCTGATGACTTCAACCTAGAAAGAGTGACAAAGCAGATTCTCGGAGCAGTCACATCCGAACAGTGTCCTACAGAAGATTTCAATCAGGTTCAACAATATCTGCATAAGGAATTGGCAGGGAAGAAGTTTTTAATTGTTTTAGATGATGTTTGGGGCACATGTAGCTATGGTCTTTGGATGAAACTGCAGTCCCCCTTTCGCGATGGAGCAGCAGGAAGCAAGATAATTGTGACAACGCGTGATGCAGAAGTTTCAAAAACGATGGGAGCTGGCACTCTAGTTCATAATTTGGAGCCTATGTCAAATGACATTTGTTTTGAAGTATTTGAGCAGCATGCATTCAGGAATGTTAACAGAGATATACCACCAAATTTGGAGTCACTCAAGGAGAAAATTATATGCAGTGGATTGCCTTTGGCTGCTAGGACTCTTGGCGGCCTTTTACTTCGTAAAGAGATGAATGAATGGGAGGAAATATTGAACAACAAATTATGGAGTCTATCAAATGAGCGTGACATACTTCCGGTATTAAGATTAAGCTATCACTATCTTCCTTCACATTTGAAAAGATGCTTTGCCTATTGTTCGATACTTCCAAATGACTATGAATTTAGTGAGCAGCAATTGATTCTTCTGTGGATGGCAGAGGGTTTGATTCAACCACAACCAGAACATAATAAGCAAATGGAAGATTTAGGAACTGACTATTTTCAGGAGCTCTTGTCGAGGTCATTATTTCAGAAATCAAGCAAAAACAATTCAAAATATGTAATGCATGACCTCGTTGTTGGTTTGGCACAGTGGGCAGCAGGAGATAATTGTTTTAGATTGGAGGATAAGCAGAATAGCGATCATGTACAACTTGGATGTTTTCCAAAGGCCCGCCATGCATCCTACATTTGTGGTGACTATGATGTGGTTAAAAGATTTGAGGCATTTTCTGAAGTGAAACATTTGCGGACCTTCCTGCATCTTTCTCATGGTTATCCTTGCCATTGTCTAAGTCGTACGGATCCTTTTGTTTTATTGCCAAAATTGCAACACTTGCGGGTGCTTTCTCTCAATGGCGATAATGTAACAACCCTCTATCTCATCAATATTGGTAAATTGAAGTATCTGCGGTATCTTGATCTCTCTCACACACTGATAATATGTTTGCCTAAATCAACTACCTCTCTTTACAACTTACAGACATTGTTATTGGAAGGTTGTCATTATTTGAAGGCACTACCTAGAAACTTGGGGAATCTAATGAATCTGCGTCATCTCAATAACTCAGATGTAGGTTCACTGAAAGCAATGCCTCCGCAACTAGGTCGGTTGACGAATCTACAATCTTTGTCTAATTTTGTGGTGGGTAAAGGTATTGATCAATCGGGTATAAGAGAGATAGGGTCCCTATTCCATCTCCGAGGGACATTGCGCCTCTCAAGATTACAGAATGTGATCGATGCTGAGGATGCACGGAGGGCCAACTTAAAATGCAAGGACAGACTTGATGAATTGGTGCTAGAATGGTCGAGTGACACACAAGAAACACAATTAGGTGTGCTTGACAGATTAGAACCTCATAGAATGCTCAAAATTCTGAAAATCAAGGGTTATGCTGGACTAAAGTTTTCAGCATGGATTGGAGATCGTTTATTCTCTACTATGGTTGATGTAAGGTTAAACAACTGTGAGAAAGTGTTGGTCAATTGCCTTCACTCAAAACGCTTTATATTAGAGGAATGACTGCAGTGGAAAGTGTTGGTCCTGAGTTTTATGGAGAGAGTAGCTTGCCTTTTCCAGTACTAGAGGATCTTAAGTTTTCAGATATGCACAACTGGAAGAAATGGCTTCCTTTCGCACAAGATCAGGTTTTCCCTTGCTTGAAGTTGCTTTCTGTCACAAATTGCCCTCAATTGGAGGGTAAGTTGCCCGAGAACCTTGATTCATTAGCAACACTTGAAATTTTTAAATGCGAGGAATTGGTGATTTCAATTTCCAACTATAAACAAATTGGTCGATTATGCATAGATGGCTGCAAAGCGGTGGTGAAGACAAGTGGCGTTGAGTTTGAGTTATTAAATTCCTTGAAACTTTCAAATATTTCAGAGGTTGCAGGCTCTTCAAGACCTTCAAATAGTTGGATGCTCAAGTCTGGTTTCTTTTCCAGATGTTGGTCTGCCTCCTTCCCTTGAAGTCATAAGCATTCGGATGTGTGATTCGTTGCTGTATTTCGCAAAATACCAGATTCCCCCAAATCTAAGAAGAATAGAGATATATCGGTGTAAAAGTTTGAAATCATTAGTAGAGAAAGAGGAGGATAGTTCTTCGTCTTCCTCTTCTTCTCATATTTCTCTTGAGCACTTGGAAATATCGGGATGTGAATCTCTAACGTCGTATCATTGAGAGCCCAGTTGTTTCCCAGGGCGCTTAAACGCCTTGACATATCGTATTGTGGAGAGCTGCAGTTAATAACGTCCGATGGATTAGCCCACGACAACACTAATTATTGTCTTGAATATATTCTCATCCGTTGTTGCAGAAATTTGAAATCCTTACCGGAGGGCCTATGCCACCTCACAAATCTTCAAACTTTATATATTCATGATTGTGGGAGTCTGGTTTCCATCCCGAGCCTGAGTGGTGAGGGTTTACTTTCGCCAACAACAACAGCCGCCTCCAGCCTGAGACAAATCAACATCGAAAATTGCAACAAATTGGAGATGTTACCAGACATGCGCAATCTCAGTTGTCTTCAGCAATTGTCTATTGATTACGGTGAAGGTTTAGATTTCACTTCCTTTCCCCCCAACCTAACATCACTTGAAATCAGCGGAATCAAGAATTGTAAGCCGCTGTTGGAGTTGTTGCACAGGCTCACCTCTCTTACATACTTGGGGGTCGATGGCGAAGACCCATATGTTGTGTCGTTTCCACCCGAAGGTGACACGGATATGGATATGGAGATGCTGCTCCCCGAATCTCTCACTCATCTCTCAATTGGGGGCTTCCCAAATCTGAAGAAACTGAGCAGCAAGGCCTTTCAATTCCTCACCTCTCTTCAATATCTTCGACTGCAGAATTGTCAAAAGCTGGCATCCATTCCAGAAGAGGGGCCTATTTCACTGAGGGAACTTCATATCATTAGGTGTCCTCTGCTAAAAGATAAATGCCTAAAATATGTTGATCCCACATTAGGTGTATTGCACAGAAGGTTTGAAATTGAAGGACGATACCTGCCCAGATTATCCCACATCCCCCGCACACATATAATTTAGATTAGAAGAAGGTTTGAAGATGATGAGAAGCCACACCCACACATGGACATGGTCAACTCCGATTCTCAGTCTCCCCAGGTACTTCAAATTTCAAACATTATCAACACTTTCCCTGTACTCTTTATGGTGAGACTCCTTTTCTGGCATATTATTGCGAGTAGTTTATAATTTTTTAATGTCGGGGGATCCCTGAAAAAAAAATGCAAATTGTTGACCAATATAGTTTTGTCAAAATTACAGCATTTGCCAAATAAGGAGACCAATCATATTGAATTAAAAAATAATTATAGTATTTATGATTCCCTAAATTAGGCAGTATGATTGGAGTTCAAATTTTATAGCTAAATTTTAACAAAAAAAAATAAGAAGCATGATTATAGATTCTCTTTTATTATATAGCTAAATAGCAGTTTTCTTTTCGGTTAACTATAGTTAATATATAGCATTTACCTAAGCATATGGATAATATAATTGTACAAAAAAAGAAAAAAAAAGAAAAGAAAAAGAAACAACATTGTTAATTCTAGGGTTCATTTGGACAGGAATTAATATATAACATGAAGAAGAGGAAGCAGGTCACCCCATCAAGCATAATTTATATAAAGGACTTATAGAGCTAGCTGTTTTTTGGTTGGGACGACTTCAGTTTTTAAAGGACATCAAGTAACCAAGTGTTATTCTTTGTTCTTTTAAACCGAAATATCGACTGAACCTGCCAGATACTTGTGACAAATTCTTGATATTTGCACTGAGATATTATATGTGCAACTAAGCTTCATCTTTATTTTGATTATTTACCAAATTATCTTTTGAATCATGCTGCCGTGTTCTGTTTAAAGAATGTGCTTCTGCATTGGCAGGAACGCTTTCAATATTCATATGCTATATACATATTACGGAAACGGATATTGTGCCGGAATAGTCTTCAAACTCCCGTCCCTTCAAGCTTCTCAAGAAACCGCTGCAGGGGAATAGCAAACTGGTATGGCTCATGCTCTTTTTCTCTCCAGATGTTTTGCTTGCTCCTTGATTCGAGTGTGACGCCTACAACGGTATTGTCCTCTTTGCAGAAAGATTTGAAACCATCCATTGCTACTTTCAGCAGCAATGGGAGTTAAATAGGCCCAAACTCAAAATTTCAAGAGCAGAATCCTCTTCCTTTGCAGCAGCTGGTGACAGTGGTGCAAAAAGGACTCAAAGAAAGATATTTATGATAGAGTTTCGTCAGTTCTTTGGACAACCATTTGCTTTAAATATTTTGCCTATCAAAGCAAGAAGGATTGTTTATTGGGTCATGTCAATTCACTAGGCATTTGTAAACAGTGAGAAGGAACAGCAAACAATGAGATAGTTTTTTTTATACAAATTTTACAAACAAAAATATACTCTAAATTAATATAATCTACGGGGAGGGGAATTTGAACTTTGGTGCAATGAGGCAGGCTCACTGCCCGGGCTTAACCCGCCTCTCCAGCAAGCAATGAGATATTACATATTCATATACAGAATTCTTATTGCATCATCAATCAAATAAGATATGCACCCTTGGTTTGGCACTGAATTGTTGATGACCAATATGGTTGTGCTGACATCTACATTGTTTGTTGTTTTCTTTGTTTCTTTTGGTTCATTAGGAATAACTTATATTCTTTGGTGTTTGCATGTCATCTCAATTGTGCTAGGTCTTAAGACTTTTAACCGATTCTGAATTTTTGTTGAGCTGAGTTGACAGGTTTATGCATGTCCTTACCATTTTATGAGTGACATTCACCAGTAAACAGTTTATCAATAAGAGATTCTATATATATGACATTCTAAGAGTTCAATTATCTGTCTAGACTATTATAATCTATATATGCCAATATTTAAACAAAAATGAAATAAAGAAAACAGATGGGTTAATTGGCAAAGATCATGCTTGGTCTGATTGTCCACCCCACCACGATGCAAGCATATATAGGCGATATCTCTTGGTTGCTAGTTTATTTTCTAAATGCCCATCTCTTGCATTTTTATCGGAAGGTTACCGCACTGTAATTCCATAAACAAAATCAATATCCACACAAAAATAAAATTACTTACAATAATCATGTAATCTACCCTATGCTCTAATCTCGTATCTTTTGAATTCCAACCCACCGTGCATAATCAACCCACCTGTTCCACAATATAAAGAATCATGAGAATTGTAGAGGAAAACACAACCAACAAACATAATGAGATTCAAGGATAACTCAGATCTTACATCAAGGACCCCAAGAATGTGTTGCCTGTTCGAACAGCAAAGCAAATTGCACTCAGTATAATCTTGTGTTTGTGTAGCAAGGGTTCTAGAATTCGTTGTTCGATTACTCCTGCGAGAACTTGGTACCTTTAAAACAAAAGGTATATCATTATGCACGTTTCCAATAATAACAAAAATAAATTATTATCATTTCTGACTAGCCTCAACTATTTATGAGCAATGATTAAATAGTAGTGTCATTGCCAAATAAAATAATAAGTCAATGAAATAATAAGGATATCTCTTAGTCCTTCTCTTAAAGATGGGATGCATGTTTCTTTAATCCCCCCTATCCAACCAACATCAATTATCATAGCATTGGCTGCTTCTTTTTTTTCCCTCAATTGAAAAACATAGAATTATGTACATAAAGCTAAATAATGGTAAACAGAAGATTTCCTTCTTCAAGGTGTCTTCTGCAGATCCTTACTTTGCTGCAGCACATCTTGTATCCATTGTGGGAATATTGGAAAGCATGTGTCCTTTCACATAAATAACTGTTCTATTTTGAGAGGTTACAGAGTTTCTTTTTGACATGTTTATGGTGGCACATGTCTTTGCACAGGAATAATTGGTGTATGATTTTTATAAAGGGTTTCTTCTGTCAACATGTTCTTGGAGACTATATATGGATTCAAATAGTTAGAAGAGCTTGTTTCTCTTTTCCCCATGTGCTCTTAGGATAAAAAGCTTCTCAATAACTAGAAAGGCCCAGTTCCATCCAGAAATGCCACAAATGGCTTTTTTGGATAGATACTATTCTCCATGGATATGATAGTTACTCTTTAAAATACCAAGTTTCTTCAGTCAGTCTTGAAAAGTTTGTTAATGGTCTATGCTGACAGTTTATGAAGGTTAGAGTAAATAATAAATAGACTACTTAAATCTGCAGAAAACCTGTGTACCTTAGATTGCTAGAAACTGCCATATAAACTCCATAGGCTACACTAGTTGATAATATGGGAACATCCTCTGCTTCACCAGCAAAAGATTTGTCAATAGCTTTTCGTGTATTAATCAGTGCATTTGTTACACCCGTACCAACCTAAAAGAAATTGAAAAATTGTAATCAGTCATATGACAATAAATGGCTACTAGCCTACTGAAACTGTCAACCATATAACAAACTGGGAACCACATAGCATCATGACACATGTATAGCCATTACATGAGTGGGAAGCAGATTTCATATGTGCATTCTGCAATGAAAAACTTATAACACGAGACAAAAACAATCTAGTAATGTACCAATACTCCCATTTCTTTCACTAAATACATATAATATTGTAGACAGCAATTGAAAATGAAATGTACTTTCAATGGCAATAAAGCACACTAGAGCCTCAGAATTCATTTATAAGACTGGTTGGAGAAGCTTGTGCCTTTGTATATTATTTGGAGAAAAAAATTTACATCTCTATTATTATTGAATGTTGATACAAAATTCAAATCAATGGAGCTCAACTAATGGTGTAGTTTCCTTTTGCCAAAATGTATAGGTTGAAATTTAGATAAGCCAAGCTCAAACAACCAAAGGTACACTATCATTAAATTAGAAACAGTCGAGGATTATAATGCTCAGTAAAGAATCATTTTGATAGACATATACTACATAAGTATCCTATGTGTTCAATACAATTTCCTAGCAGAGTTAGTTTATGTGGCTGAGCAAAAGTTGATATAGTTTTTCCTGCATAGCATGATGCTTCAGGGCTTCAAATACAATATTCTCATTAATTATATATTTGTTTTATGGCTAAGTAAAAGGAAAATCTAGCCTTGCTTATGATGCATGTTGTATAAGTGTTCCAATACAACATGCAGAAGATACTTTAGGGTTAGTATTGGAGACCCTATAATATGACAAGAATATAAAGAACCCAGGCCTGTATAGAATTTTTCATCAATGTTGTAATGGTTGATGCAACGTTAAATTAAAGCGTACATGCTCTATAATATAATGAGTTAGTTACAGAGGGTTAAATAGGTATGGAAAGTATTTGGTTATTGCTGAAAATTTCACTCACCAGAGATGCACCAGTCCCGACTGCAAATAGTTTAGCTCCATTTCTCTGAATAAAAGATCAAAATACTATAAACTCCAATGCACGTACCACTATGAGACATGAACATGACTGCTAAACTGTTAGATAGCACATACCACTATTGCACCTATTCTCTGTAAGAGTGAGTAAGATGTTCCAGCCAAAGCTACCTGCAGACAGGAGTGATGACTCACTTGTTATAGTCATATGACAAAGTGGCAACTTAAAAGGCCAAAACTAATGAAGCAAGCACTAACCTGAAAAGCATTATCAGGACACCCATAGAAGAACTTAGCAAGACGCCCTGCACTGACTGTAAGAGGAGGTCGAAGTGAAACAGTAGGAGCAGGAAGCCAAACAAGCATAAAATCGGCTATAATAGCCATCACCTGAGATTTAAAAACAAATATATTAACAGTAAGGCAGAAATAGATAAAAGGGTGCAACAAATAGAAACCAGAAACCCAACAGATAAAAAAGGCAGAAATAGATAGCATGAAATGGTAAACGGGACACATCAGCTATCATCAAAATTGAGGAAAACTTCCAGTTGTTACGAAGTTGAAGAAGTGCTGCAGATCTTTTGCACTCCAAGCAACACAAAGTTTAACATATATGAAAGCTTATGACTAGAAAAGGAACTTTCCTTTGAGATTAATAAGCCTTCTGAAAGTATGGGGGAGTAATCAAATGAGTAAACAAATTTAAATGATGTACATTGCACCACGTCCTACTAGTAAAATGCAATTAAATGATAAGTAATCCCTGCAATTTATAACTCTACTTCAGAAACACAGTTGATATTGTCATTGCAACCCCATTAACAAATTCTAAGTCCAATTTCCAATTGAAGCAAACAATTTAAACCAGTCAATTAACTAAAGTTTCCGCAGAGCAGGCTCAGTTTTAGAGCACAGATAGCAGAAATGCCAACCAAAAATAAATAAAAGGATCATACGAATATAAAAAGACACCTAGAATCAAGTTGCAAGGATGCAAGGAAAGAAAAACACAAGAGTGGAAACTGAGGATCCTACAATCAAGCAACTCCTATTCAAAGGAAAATGACCAAAGACACGAATACCATTTAGTGATTCTGTAATTGGAAGAGCACAAATTGCACATAAGGTTGCTACCAAGAGTTGGCATTGAGCTCAAAGTGCCCAAAGATAGTTTTCTGCATCCATTCCAATTCACAACCCAAAACTCAACTGAAAGGCAGATTTTCCGAGTTTATTTATTTTTAATATTTATATCATATGACATCCCAGATTCCGACAGTGTTTCTTACTGTTACACTTTCGCTCAGCCCAGTTATACAAACATCACTTGTATAAGCTGCTCATTTATGAAGCTGATGAAAATTACTTAGTTAGGAGGCAATAGTTTTCCATTCTGCAGCACAACAAAATCAAAGATCTTATTTATATGAGAGGCGTACCACATCCGCGAAAACAAAATCCAGCTCTTTGGTAAAATTTTCGCGGCGCCGCTCCAACTCTGCAGCAGTCTGAAAAATGAGCAACATGGAAAGAGCTCAGCTTACACCTACCTATACATAGCAGATACTCTGATTTGTATTCGATATTCGAAAGTTAAGAGATATCCAATGCATAACAGAGACACCATTTCCATTGAGGAGCCAAATAAAGAATTGTAGATGCCAAAGTATGGATCAACGGTCAAGATTTCACCTTTTCTAAGAAATATAACTTTATCAGATTAGAAGTCAGCAAATTAGCAAATTACAAGAAGCACAGACCTTGGTGAATATTCCAACACCACACTCTATAGCAACCTTAGTCAAGAACAAATCATCCGCTAGCAACAGCTCCTTAAACCCATCAAACCCAAGCAGCCACCTGAACACCAACGACTTCTCCAGCTCAAAGAACCTCCTCACAATAGACCCCGGCACACGGCCCGCCTCTATCGCCGCCGCCAAGTCCTTGGGCAGGCTCTCCGACGACCGCCCCGCCTCCGCTATTGCCGCCACGGCCTCCACCTTGTTCCGCTCCCGGTCCTCACCGCCGTCATCACCGCCACCGTTGTCCTGGGCCCACCGCCGTATGCGGCGGATGAGCTGGCGATGAAGGAGAAGCGGGTGAGGCAGGAGGTGGTGAATGAGACGGAGGGAGTTATGGTGACTTTACTGCGGGAAATGAGAGTGGGAGTGAGGCTTTTTGGGGATATAGAAAAATGCTGAGGGTTGTTTGGTGAAGAGAGAGAGAGCGTAGGTAGTGCAGAAGTTGGAGAGGCTGGTGACTGCTGCCATTGTTACTATGGGAATTAATCTCTAGTGTCCAGATTTGATCTGGGCTCCTTCAATGCTTTGGGCTGATTCTTAATCTCTTTCAAATCTAAAGCCCAAAGACTGTTCTGTCATGTCAGGCCAAATTGTTCCTGGGCTGGCGTGCAGAATTTAGGCCCAAATAATATTTAAGCTAATAAGGTCATCTCCAGTCATAGGACCAAAAAGCCCTCCAAAATATTAATTTTTTAACAAATAGTGTCGGGCTAAATTTTTCCATCTCCAATCACGCAAGGCTATATTTTAGGGTTCTTCATATTTTATTATTTTGAGAAAAATTATAGTAAGACACTCATACATTCTGCAACTATATATTGTCTAATTTAATTAAACTACTATTTAGAGGCAATATTCCATATATGACATGTATACGTTGATAAGAACAAGATTACTGATAAGATTTTGTGTCCACGTGGCACGTCTGACACAAAAGTCTAGTTAGAATGGGTTATATTAGAATGTAATGATAATCATACACCCACTTTTCCCATAGTAAGTAATGAATTATATAGAGAGATTAAAAATTCAGGAGCAAAGATGATGCACTTTGTACTGGTAGTCATAGGAGTAAAAAGTCTAGTTAGAATGGGTTTAGGAACTAAAATATTTGTTAATATATTTGATTCTAGATGGAATCAAGGAGATTCTGCTATGATAGCCGCGTCAGAAACAGACCTAAATACAGGACGAGGATTAATATATGTAGCTCCAGGATTATTAACCTCATTAAGAGATATACAACAGATAAAAGTTGGTATTAAAACCAAATGTCAAGATTTAAACAAAAAGAAAATAGGGAAATTGACTTAAATAATCCCAAAAGATAAACCATAATCAAATATACTCACTTTATAAATTTCAATCAGAAATACTCACTGTGTAACATGAAAGTACCCAATTGCCCTCCGTATAAATATATCTGTATTGAACCTTTATCCCCTCAAAAATTCATTTTCTGAAACCCAATTTCTCCCAACTCCTCTCCTCTCTCCACTCTCCCAAATCTTGCCCAGCCATGACTTCATAGAAAACAGAGAGAGTAACGGCCATGGCGACGACGTCGGTGGATTCTCCAAATCCTGACCCGGACACTGACATTGAGCTCGATACCAATCCAAATCTTAACCCTAACCCTAATTCTTCAAACTCATTAGTCCTTGCCTCCTCCAATGGCCCTGCTGTCTGCCTTCTCAAGTTTGCCGGAGACTCCGCTGGCGGGGCATTCATGGGCTCCATTTTTCGCTACGCCCTCTCTCTCTCTCTCTCTCTCTCTCTCTCTCTCTCTCTCTCTCTCTCTCTCTCTCTCTCTATATATATATATATATATATATATATATGTATACATGCGTATGGAGTGTTATGCTTTAATTGCTTAATTGTGGTGTTTCTATATGGGAATTTGAGTGGTGCTGATATAGGATTTTGAGTGTTTGACAAAATATGATTTTCGTTAATAGTGTTTTGGGCTTTGCGAAGGGGAGTTAATTTTCTCTTTCTGACTAACGAGTTGTTGGAGTTTTTGGTGGGGTTTGTTTAGTGTTCTCTAATGGTTGAGGTATGCTAGTCTTTTGTATTTTTCAGTTTGTATCATGTGGGTTTCTGTTGAGTATTGATATAGTGATTCTTAATATGCTTTCGGATATGTTTTCTGCTGAAATTCTTCATATGAAGTGTATGAATTTTGAATTCGAAATTGTTGCATTTGCCTTAACAAAACCTGATATGGATGCAAATTGGTCCTGTTGTGATTGATTTTGTTATTTATCAGAACATGGGAAAGCTGAAAATAGGTATCTTCATGAGATGCTTGACCAAAATTTGAAGTATTGCAAGAGCATTAAGTAGACCTCCCCTGATATGGCTTGCTGTAAAATGTAACTTATGGATTTGATTTCCTTGTTCTAAAGGTGCCCTTGTAGATTATTTGTTACATTCCTCGCATAGTGATGATAGATTCAACTCCTCCCAGGTACTTCAAATTTCAAACACTATCAACCTTTAATGGGTACCATGAAATAAGAATGTCTTATTATTTTTCAGATATTCTTGTTTTCTTCAATTCAATTGGATTTTACAACAATGTCTGTTTCCCAGGTCCTTTTCATCAATAGTTGCTTCAAGCAGTACCCCCACATGCTGGAGTATAACGATTGAAGGGATGCTTCTTTTAGAAGAGGCTTTTGCTACACTTGGATGAGATGTATGATCTTCAAATTCTTGCCCTGTCAAATTCTTGCTACACCGGATTAGATCAACAAATTCACATCACTTCAAGATGACTGTTTCCCATTCTGACTGGGAATTCCCCAACCTGCCATTGAGATTTACTCTTTCTAAGGCCTCGATAAGATGGTGTTGCAGTAGCACGTATTTCTCCTGAAGATGGTAAATCACTACCTTTCTGTTGCAAGTTTCAGATTTTTAATATTTTGTCATCTCTCTACTGAGAAAACTTTTTACCCATATTTTTCTTTCTTTTGTTTGCTTGGCTACACTGTTTTTCCTAATTCTCTGTCTTTTATTCAAGTTAGTAGGTTTACATATCTTAACTCAAGATTTGAACCCTGACCACTTTACAATCTTTAGAGGACGTGTAGATCTAGCTGTTTTTTTGTGGTTGGGAGGACTTCAGTTTTTAAAGGACATCAAGTAACCAAGTGTTGTTCTTTGTTCTTTTAAATGGAAATATCGGCTGCACCTGCCAGATACTTGTGACAAATTCTTGATATTTGCACTGAGATATTATATGTGCAACTAAGCTTCATCTTTATTTTGATGATTTACCAAATTATCTTTTGAATCATGCTGAAAAGTACAATTGAGGTTGCCGTGTTCTGTATAAAGAATGTGCTTCTGCATTGGCAGGAACGCTTTCAATATTCAGATACTATATACATATGCCAGAAGCGGATGTTGTGCCAGAAGAGTCTTCAAACTCCCATCCCTTCAAGCTTCTCAAGAAACCTCTGCAGGGGAATAGTAAACTCGTATGGCTCATGCTCTTTTTCTCTCCAGATGTTTTGCTTGCTCCTCGATATTGATTTGAGTGCAACGTCTACAATGGCATTGTCCTCTTTGCAGAAAGAGTTGAAACCATCCATTGCTACTTTCAAGCATCAATGGGAGTTATCTCCAAATAGGCCCAAGCTCAAAATTTCAAGGGCAGAATCCTCTTCCTTTGCAGCAGTAGGTGACACTGGTGCAAAAAGGACTCAAGGAAAGATACTTATGATAGAATTTCGTCAGTTCTTTGGACAACCATTTGCTTTAAATGTTCTGCCTATGCAACCAACATCCAAATATGCTGCCTATCCAACCAATTTCGTCAGTCCTCTTAATGATGGGATGCATGTTTCTTTAATCCCCCCTATCCAAGCCACATCAATTATCTTGCCTAAAAAGGAATTTCTGTACGGTAGACAATTGATATATAGAATTTCTAAAGGCCAACATATATCATAGCATTGGCTTCTTTTTTTCTTTTTTTTTCCCTCAATCGAAAAACATAGAATTATGTACATAAAACTAAATAATGGTAAACAAAAGATTTCCTTCTTCAAGGTGTCTTCTGCAGATCCTTATTCTGCAGAATTTTATAAAGGGTTTCTTCCGTCAACATGTTCTTGGAGACTATATATGGATTCAAATAGTTGGAAGATCTTGTTTCTCTTTTCCCCATGTGCTCTTAGGATAAAAAGCTTCTCGATAACTAGAAAGGCCCAGTTTCATCCAGAAATGCCACAAATGGTTTTTTTGGATAGATACTATTCTCCATGGATATGATAGTTACTCTTTAAAATACCAAGTTTCTTCAGTCAGTCTTGAAAAGTTTGTTAATGGTCTATGCTTACAGTTCATGAAGGTTAGAGTAAATAATAAATAGATTACTTAAATCTGCAGAAAACCTGTGTACCTTAGATTGCTAGAAACTGCCATATAAACTCCATAGGCTACACTGGTTGATAATATGGGAACATCCTCTGCTTCACCAGCAAAAGATTTATCGATAGCTTTTCGTGCATTAATCAATGCATTTGTTACACCCGTACCAATCTAAAAGAAATTGAAAAATTGTAATCAGTCATATGACACCAAACGGCTACTAGCCTATTGAAACTGTCAAACATATAAAAAACTGGGAACCACATAACATCATGACACCTGTGTAGCCATTACAATGGGTGGGAAGCAGATTTCATATGTGCATTCTGCAATGAAAAACTTATAACACGAGACAAAAACAATCATATGACAAGAATATAAAGAACCCAGGCCTGTATAGAATTATTCATCAATGTTGTAATGGTTGATGCAACGTTAAATTAAAGCGTTACTTGCTCTAAGATATAATGAGTTAGTTACAGGGTTAGTTTAAGAGCAGATATCTCTTGCTTTTGCAGTTGCATCCTGGCATGTGAAAGAAAGACAATCTTTACATAGATCCCTTACCAGTTTTTGGACAACCATTTACTTGAAGCATTATGTCTTTCAGAGAAGATTGCGTTTTTTTTTTGGGGTCATGTCAATGCACTAGGCATTTGTAAATAAGGAACCGCAAGAAGTGAGATATTACATATTCATATACATTATTATTATTATTCTTATTTTTTTATGTTTTATTTTTTTACCTTCATCCTCAGTTGGTTAGGCACTGAATTGTATATACCAATTTGGTTGCGCTGACATCTTCATCGTTTGTTTTCTTTTTATTTCTTTCAACTCTGAATTTTTTAGTACCTTTTGGTGTTGGCATCCCATTGTTTTTAGGGCTTGTTAGACTCTTAACTTTTGTTGCCTAGAGGATTCTATGTTCAGTTGAGTTGACAGGTTTATACAATATAATCTCACAGCTGGATACATTATAAGTACCTTCCAGCGCTGCCCCATCTTGTAGAGTAAGGTCATATATGGGGTACCGATTACAAATCTAAGAGTTGGATTGGTCTTTTGGACTATTACAGTCCTTATGTGTCAAGATTTAAACAAAAAAGAGGAAATGCGAAAAAAATAAAAGGATTTCAAATGATTTCTCACCCTTGCAATGGTTGTGGGTTAATTTGGCATAGATCATGATGGAAGGATATAGAATGCGACGGGAGCTATGCTATGCAAAATAGTGGTCGTTCGTAAGGCAAAAATCATTGTCATATATCACACACCTAACACAAATATCACTACCAAATTTATTTCCAGTGTGAATTGCAAATGCTTTTTAAAGGACTTATTTGTGAAGAACCGAACTTTAGTAACATCGTCTCGAGTCAATTCTTTAGAAATAAAATAATAATAATAATTACTAGGATAGGTCAAAAATTCGATTCGGTCTTACAAACTCGTAGTGAAGTATATGACAGATAAAATCTAAATTGAATATGACTAATCTACCACAGACCTTTGTAGCCTAATCTAAGATGTTCATGCATACATAGACTTAATCAAATTGACTAGAGCGGATGTGTTTCCCTCTGCATTAGAATTAATAATGTTTGTATAAAATATATATATATATATTAGGGAACATTTTCAAACTTATGAAATGTTGACAAATCTAAAATTATTTTTGCCAATAATGCTATATTTTTTCCCTAAGACTTATCTGTATACATAAAATTCTACATTTTTGACATATAAATTGTTCTACCCTTATCCCATAATCCTGCAAATAAAATGGTTATTATGACTTCTACACATCTGAGTTTTATCTGATGGCTACGTGGCGACGTGTAACCCGCTACAAATCCTACAGCTGCCACTATAAATACTTGTCACTTCCCAAGCCACAAAACGCCACCACTGCTCAAATTCTCCAGCTTAGCATAGCTCCCATCACATGTCACACGGGCGATGCCTCTTGGATGCTACTTTATTTTCTCAATGTTCTTTCTTGCATTTTTATCATCAACACCCAAAAGATTACCGCATAAATATATATAATATGTAATTTTATAAACGAAATCAACATCCACACAAAAATAAAATTACTTACAACAATCATGAACTGTGGTCATCTACCTTATGCTCTAATCTCGTATCTTCTCTTAAAAGGAATCTCCATACTGTACATTCTGCATTGCAAAACTTATGACACGAGACAAACAGTCTAGTAATGAACTAACAATACTCCCACTTCTATCACTGAATGCATACAAAATTGTAGAGTTTAAGATGAAATGTACTTTCAATGGCAATAAAGCACACTAGAGCCTCAGAGTGGAAGAATAAATTTATAAGACTGGTTTAAGATGAAATGTATTTAATTCCGGATACGTAAATAAAGAGTTGTTCACAGGGCTGGTCTTGAGATTTTGAGGGCCCTGTGCTAACCTTAAACTGGGGCCTCATATAAGATAACACAAACTTACACCATTATGTAATGTCATACAATAAATGTTTTTTTTTTCTTAAAGTGACCAAAGTACCCCTACTCCCAAGGGCAAAAATTGAAAATTCACAAAAGAATTAAATTTGATTAAATCGATTAAATTGTATCAGGGATGTTACACCTTTTGAATAATCACCATGATTGTGAATGAGTCTTTGTCGTAATAGATATATTAAATATTTTTTAACACCTAATTTATTTTGTATCAATATTCCAAGAACATCATTAATTTGACGTGTCTTGTTTGGTTGAGTTAGTTGGATGCATTATTTTTGTAAAAATAAATATCTTTTTAACACCTAATTTATTTTGTATCAATATTCTAAGAACATCATTAATTGGATGCAACTTTTTTGATTGAGTTAGTTGGATGCATTAATTTTGCAATATCTTTGGATCGGACGACGACGGTGGCCAGCGAAGGTCAAGAGAGCGATTGAAATGATATTAATCATGAGGAAATTCATGCACTTGGCTCATAGGGCCCGTTTGAACTTCCATGAAATGAGAGTGAGGGAGAACCAATATGTGACCAACCTCATCAAAATTTATTGGTGAAATTAATCATAATATGTGGCTGGACAAAAGCAAGTGTGATGTGAGTGAGTTTAAAAAAAAACCATGTTAGGATCAAACATAATCTGACAGAAGGACGCGGCATGAGCTGGAGCTGGACCATTAGAATAGACTAGACACTATTGATTCAAAACTCAATTATCAGCTTCTACACTCATCCATCTTCATATATATTATGTCTTGGTTCTGGCTTTCTTGATCTCTTTTGTTCTAAAAGTGTGTAACTGTGTATTGCCTTTGAATTTTCCTTCTTGTTCACTGCGACACCTTCGGTATTTGGTAATTCGTGAAGAAATCTGCTGCTGATACTTAAACTGCAGGTACTTTTGATTTATTCTGTTCGGGGCCTTTTATTTTTTGTTTCTTTTAGTTTCTTGTATTTTATTTGTTTTGCGCAATATAATAATAATAATTTTTTTTTATCAAAGAAAGAGCGACTGTATTTATCTGCTCAGACTTCCTGTTTTCTTTATCTATTTCGTAAGATACAACAATAGAAACTTTGAAGAATTTTTTATTCATTTTTTCAAAACTGATTTATGATTTTTATTAAATAAAAAAAGGCTCGCTGTCATCGACGGTGGCGAGGCAACATAAAGGCCCCAAGCCACTGCCAAAGTTATGTAATATATATATTTTTTTTATACAAGCGATATTCAAGAACTGCTCTTAAAATAGACTAGACACACGATTGATTCAAAACTCAATTATCAGCTTCTACTTTTCTATGTAACGTGCTGGTGGCAGCAGTTAAAGGAATATTTTTAGGTTTTTATCTTGGAGCCAGAAGCAAACCAGAATCATAAATATATATAAATTTATTTGAGTGATCTCTCAATAAAAGGGGACTGATATATATACTATTTCCTTCTTCTTTTTTCACATTATTGTCTCATTTGGTACTGTTTCTTAAAAGAATTATTTTTACTCATTTTGTTCATATATAAGAAATTTTGTTATAAGCGTAATGTTTTTGTAAGCGCAGTTAGAAGCATTTTTAGCTTGTAGTCATTTCAAAGGCAAGCTCTAACGAACCCTTAATCGGTAATTTCAAGCTAATAAAAATCTTTGATCCTCATGAAAATCTTGACTTTAATCTTCAAATGGATCAAAATGATATAATAAAATAACGTTAATCTCAACGTTAATGATACAATAAATCTGATTCTGCTTGTGCGCAACAAATCTGGACTGAAGAAGTGGAACTGAGCTGGAGTCTTCCTAGTTTTGTTCCACTCTACCTTTGGTGGAGTCGTTTTTGTTTTTTGTTTTTTTTGTTCTGTTCTATTTCGATCAAAGTGACTTTTCCTGCTTGATACAATACAAGCAGAAAAGAAAAATGAAAAATATCAACCAAAAAGTCACTTTGATGGAAATAGAACAGAACAAACAAAAACAAAACGACCCACCAAAAGTAGAGTGGAACAAAACTATAGGAAGACTCAAGCTCTGTTTTTCTACTTCTTCAGTCCAGATTTGTTGCTCACAAGCAGAATCAGATTTGAGCTTCCATGTAAGTGCTTCTTGCAAGCATAATAATTATTTCAATCTTTTATATTTATGTTTTTATATGCCATACATACATTCATCAATGAGACCTACACATCCTAAGTAAAACTAAGTTTTCACTTAATTTCTGCAGTTGTGCGTCTTAATTTGTTCAGTGTGGATTTTTGGATCTCAAGCAAAATCAGATATCAAAATTTCCATGTAAGTGCTTATTCTGAACTGAAATATCCTAAGTAATTATTTCATTTTGTTTTATATTTGGCTTCCTGCGTTATTCTTGTTCCCCCAGCTAAAACTAGTATTTTTTTTTTAACGTAATTTGTGCAGTTGTGCGTGTTCATATTGTTGAAGAAAACTTCCTTACTTTTTTGGCTGCTTGTGTGTGTCTCTTCAGTCTTAATTATCAACAAGTATGGCAGTGGGAGAGATTTTTCTTGGGGCGTTCCTTCAGGTGCTGCTCGACAGGTTGGGGCCTCGCGAGATCCTCAACAACTTTGGTCTCGTAAAGGGCGTCGACAAAAAGCTGAATAAATGGAGTGACAATTTGTCTGTAATCGTAGCGGTACTGAATGATGCGGAGGAGAAGCAACTGACAGATCATGGTGTGAAATTGTGGCTGGATGAACTCAGAGACTTGGCTTATGATGTAGAAGACGTGCTGGACAAATTTGCTACTAAAATATTGAAGCGCCAGATAGAGGGACGTGATCAAGTAAAAAGGTGCTGGACAAGTAAAAAGGTGCGGAGATCATTCTCTAAACTGACACTCAATGTCGATATGAACTCTGAAATAAAGAAGATTACAGAGCGGTTGCAAGGGATCTCTGAACGGAAAGATGAGTTTGGTTTAAAGGACACTGGGACGTCTAGTAAAGCATGGTCAAGGCCACCAACTTCGGGCGTGTTGGGTGGACTAACCGTTGTTGGAAGAGATGGAGAGAAAGCAAAAATATTAGAAATGTTGTCGAGCGATGAGCATAGTAATGTCAGCTTTGATGTTGTTGCCATTGTTGGCATGCCTGGCCTTGGGAAGACAACACTTGCTCAATTTGCTTTCAACAACAACAGTGATGTCATGAAGGAGTTCGAGCTGAAGGTGTGGGTGTCTGTGTCCGGTGACTTCAACGTTGTAAGAGTGACGAAGGCAATTCTTGAATCAGTCACATCTCAACCCGTTAAAGTAGAGGAGTTCAGTAAAATGCAGCATGATTTGAATGAGCAGTTAAGAGGCAAAAAGTTTTTAATTGTTTTAGATGATATTTGGAACAAAGGTGATTTATATGATCTGTGGACAAGACTTCAATCCCCTTTTAGTGTTGGAGCACAAGGAAGTAAGATAATTGTGACAACACGTGACCTAAATGTTGCAAAGATTATGGGAGCCACCGAAGTTCATAACTTGGAGTATATGTCAGATGATAATTGTTTGGAAATATTTGAGCAGCATGCATTTGTGAACATTAACAATGATAGACCACCAAATTTTGAGTTGCTTCAGAAAAAAATTGCTGAAAAATGCAGTGGATTGCCCTTAGCAGCAAGAACTCTTGGTGGGCTTTTACGTCAGAAAGAAATAAACGAATGGGAAGAAATATTGAACAACAAATTGTGGAATTTATCAGGTAAGAGTGACATTCTTCCGGTATTAAAGTTGAGCTATCACTATCTTCCTTCCAACTTGAAGAGGTGTTTTGCCTATTGCTCAATATTTCCAAATGACTATGAATTTGGGGAGAAGCAATTGATCCTTTTATGGATGGCAGAGGGTTTGATTCAACAACCACCAGAAGCCAATAGACAAATGGAGGATTTAGGGCACGACTATTTTCAAGAGCTATTATGTAGGTCATTATTTCAAAAGGCAAGTGAAAACAATTCACGATATGTAATGCATGACCTTGTTACTGATTTGGCACAATGGGCAGCAGGAAATACTTGTTTTAGATTGGAGGACAAGAAGAAAGGCTGCTTCTATCCTTCTGGATAAGCACTATCGTACTTACTGTGGGCACTAAGAGTTCTCTCTGGCTCACCCCCCCTCAGGCAGCTTCCCTTCTTTTCTAGCGGGCCTCCTTCCCCTATCCAACGCCTCCCCCTGTTTTGCTATTCACTATTCCAGACCTACCCCACACCCAACTTCTCTTCCTTTTCTCAATCCCACTTTTCCCCCCCTCCCTAACCCAGACTCGCTCCCCATCTCTTTTAACCTCCTTTACTGGCGGGG